GGCTTGATGTGGTGGTTAGAATTACCATTGCTACCATCTTGTCCTGCAGCGCCCCCCAGGGAGGCTGGGCTCAGCCATGACCAGCCACAAAGCCGTGTTTCATTTGAGAAGGTCTCCACCTTCCAGCGCCCCATGTCAACGGGGTTCTGGCCTTTCCCTGGGTCCCCGGCCACCCCCACTGCTCTCCAGACAGTGCTGGGAGAATCACCTTCTGGCGACATTGCCCTCTGCCCCATCGGCAGCCTCCCAAGCTTCCCACTGCCTGGACTGGCCTCACCCTGCTGACCCCCTTCAGACCCCTAGTTCTCCTTCAGCTGCGCCTTCCCATCTGGGATCACCCCGCAGCAGTGCTCCCCACTCCTCAGCTGCTTCCTCAGACCCCAGACCCCGTGCCTGGCCCCTCCCCGCCCCCCGACGGGCCTCCCTGCCAGCCATCCTGCTGGGCCTGTGTCCTGCCCACTGATGAGCCATGTGCACATGTGTTCTGGAAGGCCCCAGGCCCCTCGTTTCTATCATGGCAGTGGGGGTGGGGTGCCCTACATGGTGCACCCCGCCATCCCGTGCTGCAGAATGAATAAAAAGAGGTTGGCTTAGGATGGTGGGGGCTCTGTGGGGCAGACTGTGTGCCTGGGTTGGGGGTGGTGGTAGTGTTCTGTGGTGATGTGACAGTGCTGTGTCAGGGACTGCTGTCATTGCAAGCCCCTTCCTCCCCCTGGTTCTGCCCACCACTCAGTTCAGGGTCGGTTTGGCTTTCACCACTAAGTTTGGGGGCTCATATCCCCACTCTCCTTAGAAAGCTGCAATCTCAAGGAGCAGACATCTTTGCTTTTTAAGTGCAAACATCCGTGTGTGTGTGTGTGTGTGTGTGTGTGTGTGTGTGGTTCCCCACCCCCTGCACATCTGGAGCTATTAGTGACACCCCCCCCATACACACACACACGCTCAAGCAGAAGCCACTAGCACGTGTACCCATGAATTGAGGGTGCCCAGTCCTGTGGGGTCACATGGCACATGTGCCCCCACCAGCAGCAGTGGTGGACCACCACCACCACCACCCCCTACTCCCCCGGGCTCATTGGGGTTGCACAGCTGGGGGTGTGTGTCTTTATTTGTCCACCAACACTTCTCTCTGCAATAATGAAATGTTTACCAAGAGGGTCGGTTGTGCACTGGGGGCTGAGGGGGGCGGTGCCCCACTGGGCTGGACCTCAATTACCCCAGAAGGTGCTGCTGCAGGGAGGGGGCGGCAGTGGGACCGGACTGGTGCAGAAAAGCCGTCCCGGCTCTTTGCTGGTGATGACAGAGCAGCTCCAGGGCGCAGGTGAGGTCTGGAGTGGGCAGAACAGAGGCAGGAGGGTTGTGGGGTGGAGGGCTGAGGGATGCCACCCCCGCGGGGGTGGGGTGCCATATGCACTGGAGCCCCCCACCGCCTTTGGGTAGCAGCCCAGGTGAGGTCTGCGTGGGGGCGGGGTTGTGGCAGCAGGGCCGGATTGGTGCAGGAACAGCCCGGGGTAGCAGCCCAGGTAAGGTCTGCTCTGAAGAACCCCAGGGTGCAGGTGGTGGTCCAGAACCCTCCAGGCTCCACGAGGTGGGCTCATCACTCTGCAGTGTTGTTCCTTTCTCCCCCCTTGAAGCTGCCGCTGCCTCCGCCACCACTGTCCAGATCTGGCCTGGCAGAGGGGGGAAGGTGTTGGTGAGAGAAATGGCAGTGCCACAGGCACTGTGTGACCAGTGCTGTCACGTACCTGCTCTCCCCTGGGATATGGGGGCCAGGCAATCTCGGAGGGCTTAGGAGGAGGGACCCTGGGAATGGCTGAGGCCTAGGGGCTCTGGGAGATGTGTCCTCCGGTGGCTGAAAGAGTCTGTCCAGGGAGTAGGAGTAGCAGCTGGGAAGATGGGGGGCCCTGGGTTGGGACCACCTGTCGAGCTCCCCTCCCTACCCTCATCCCACAAGCCGGGGCGTTGCAGCTTTTCAGATCATGAATAGACATGGGATGGTGATACTGCCAGGGGTCAGGGCTTAATAGTGCCCCTCTGATGCAGGCAGGAGCCCTTGAAGCCCACCTGCCCACTGGGGCCTGGGCAGGGTGCGTGCACTCACCTGAGGGGCATTGTCTAGAGGGGGGAGGGGGCCCTAAATGGGCCCTCTAGGCAGGAGGTGGTCCCTGCATCTCTGTTGCCCGCCCTTGGGTGCACACTGCTGAGGAGAAACCCTAATTTTAGATCTGCCTAATGCAGCCACGCATTGGGAATTCTATTTTAAGAGCTATGACTTCATAGCAGCTCCCCAGCATGCGCTGAGGCTGCACGGACCCCCAGCACCACTCCAGGGGACCAGCACGCATGGAGTTAATGCCAGTGAGGCCCCCCGCCCTTGTCCTTGACCTGGTTCCATGTAGGGAAATTGAGACCCCAGCCCAGCCCCGCACGCCAAGGGTGCCACCAGGATTTCAGGGTGGGTCCTGGGCTGGCTGTCCTAGGCAGACTGCCTTGTGGGCAGTGCAGTGGCTTGCCTTAGCACCCCAGACTGGTCACCCAGAGATAGCCCACCACATTCTCAGCCCCCTCCTCCCCAGTCTCCAAGCAGAGCCTGGTGTGGGCTGACCAGTTGGACATCAAGTGGACACAGGTCTGCGCTGTGTTCACATCTACGGGGCATTACACTCACTGGGTGCTGGGGTTTAGAGAGGAGGATGGGGAGGGCAGTACTCGAATCGTCTCCGAGGGGCACCTTCTCAAGGTTGTGCTTTGGGGGGAGGGCAGGATGTATTTCACAGCCAACGTTATTTCTCTCGGCCTTCTGGACGTGGGGAGGAGGCAGCGTCGGTAAGCCCAGCTCTGTGACCCAGTCACTGGCCCTCTCTCACCGCCGTCGGGTCGATGCTGACGCAGGGGACACTATAAGAAAGGGTAGAACTGCGCCTGAGCATTTCCGACACTGTTGGCTGGTGGTATCGAACTGCCAACCTTTCAGATCACAGACCACCACGTAACTACTGTGCCACCAGGGCTTCTACCACTTGCCTAGTGCTGAGTAGCTCCTCCCCAACCTCTTGGCTTCAAAGCATCCACTCGCAGCTTCTGGGGGGCAGGAGGCTCTGGTAGAAGATGGGGCTCCCTCAGGGTTGTTGGCATCAGTTCATTGAGCAGCCTCACAGGACAGCGGCTCCCTACTCAACACCAGTGGTCTGAGGGCGCGCGGACTGCGGAAGCCACACACACCCTCCTCGCTACATCTGGCTTTCGCTCCCAGGAGGCCTTCTGTAGGGTGGGTAGGGTTATGTTTCTGACCCACCGCACCCTCACAGGCCTGTTGGGAGCAGTCCTGACCTCTGAGCTCAGGCCTGCATTGGGTGGGGCTCCCCCTACCCATAAGAAACCCATGGACGTGATTTGCTTGTTGAGGGGTGGGGGCAGGAAAAACCTGGCCCTGGTGCACCCCTGGGGCGGTAGGCACAGCTCTGGAGGCCTCAGCCTCAACCTTCACGCACTGCCAGGGTCTCTGAGGGATGCTGGCACGGTGCCCAGGACTTGTGTGCCCACTGGGGCTGCTGCTGCAGTCTCCCCCCCTCCCCCCATCTGTGGGGATAGAGGATGGTGGAGGGGGCCCCACCCTGAGCAGCACACAGGCTTCTGGTGACTGCGTGGGCCCAGCTTCTCCCCCATCAGGACCAGGGCTCTATTCTGGGCTGTAATGGTGATCCTGGGCAACTCCAGGTGGGCTGGACCCCAGAACAGGTCAGATGCCGTGCCCTTGTGTAGGCAGGTGATCCACCACCGAGTAGCTTGTCTAAGGGCACAAGGGGGAGGATATGACCCTGCAAAACCTGTGGCCTTTCTCCTCCCCTTGTCGGTGGTCCCTCCCCCAGCCTGTCTGTGTGTGCAGGCAGAGGGGGGGTGAGATTAGCGGTGTTTGTTGGAACACTACCAGGCAGCTCAACCCCATGGGGCAGTTCTCAGGGGTGGGATGGCAAGTCTCCCAGCCCTGTACCGTCCCCTCTCCAGAAAGACCAGCAGGGCTGTCTGTAGTGGGTGGGTGGGCCTCACAGTGCCCTCAATATACTGGCCACTAGATGCCCTGGGCAGCAGGTTTGTGGGGTAATGCACAGACACTCATGGGATGGAAGGTTCCAATTGCAGGCAGACCGCCCAGCAGCTATGCCACCTCACCTTCAGGTGGGTGACAGTCCTGGGCTCAGCAGGTGGACTAGAAGGGTCTGAAGTCCAGCCGTCTGCCCCAGCACTTGTGAAACTCTCTACCTACCTGGTCTTGTCAGCTCCATCCTGTGGGGTGTGGGATAAGAACCCAAATCCATGGGTAGTTGAACACAAGCCTTTGGTCTGCTGATAACCACTGGCCTCCTAGGCCTTGTTTGCTGCTCGTGTCCCCGGGGCAGGGAGAAATGCAGGTGGCCTCTCAGAGGAGGACATTAGTGGAAGCCTGTTTATAGGGTGCTCACCCAGCCCCTTCCATTAGCCAGTGGGTGAGAGGGGACAGTGGTGGCTGTGTAGTGTTGGGGGTGGAGCTGCATGCTGACACTGGGCAGGCAGAGTGCCTGGCATACAGCTGGCATTGTCCCTGCTGGGGCAGGGGGTGGACAGTCACCCAGCAGCGACTGGTTGCTCACCCTAGTTCCGTGTCCATGGGGCACAGGGTTCCTTCCATATCTCCCTCCTCCAGCAATAAGGCTTGTTCTTGGGAGGCCTAGGGCCAGCCCACCTGTGTCCAGACCCTGGAGTGTGTCCCTCAGGGTCCTGTAAAGTGCGTGCAGCTTGGTGGCAGGGACATCTGTGCTGTGCCTTGCTCCTTGGTGGCAGCAGGAAAGAGGTGAGGCTGCAGGGGGCCAGGCTGAGCTTGAGTCACGCTGTGTGCTAGAGTGCCCCTGGGACCCGGCGCTGACTAGCCTCTCTGCCTCTGTTCTGCGGCGCCCGCATGCCCCCTGCTCTCTGCTGCTGGCCTCTGCTCTCTGGGTGACCTGGTTCTTCTTTTCCTGTTTCAGGCATGAGCCATGAGCCCAAGTCCCCTTCACTAGGAATGCTTTCCACCACGACCAGGACCACGGCCACCGTCAGCCCCCTGACCCCCTCACCGCTCAATGGCGCTCTGGTGCCCGGCGGCAGCCCCGCCACCAGCAGTGCCCTGCCCGTACAGGCTGCCCCGTCCTCCAGCTTTGCCGCTGCACTGCGCAAACTCGCCAAGCAGGTGGAGGAGCCCAGAGGTAAGAGGCACCGCCAGCCGAGGGCAGCCGCGATCAGCCGGGCCCTCGCTCCCGCTGTGCATGTGCTCCCTGTTGTCCCTGGCTATGAGGCAGGAGGGGGCATGGTAGTGCAGGCCTCTGAACCTAGGTGTCCAGCTTGGGAACAGTGGGGACAAAGTGCCCCTGAGGGCCAGGCCCCTGGCTGCTGCACTGAATCCTGTGGAATGAGGCTGGGGAGCGAGTGGCTGGGGCAGCCTGGTTGGTTCCGGGTCGGTGGCCGCCCAGCAGGGATTCAGATGCCAGGCTACCTCCAGAGCTGCAGACTTGATGTGCACACACACCCACACACCCCTCCCAGCTTCTTGGGCCGCATGACTGTAGAGCAGTGTGGGCCAGGCAGGCCCTTGGGCCAAGCTAGCACCTGCCCCTGGTGGCTGTCATGGGCTGCCTCAGCAGGTAAGAACCCCACTGTCCCCTCCTCTGCCCCACCCCCCAAACATGGGCAGAGAGACGAGTTGGTCCCTGGGTTGGCGGGGGCAGTATGTGAGGCTGCCCTCCCTTAAGGTGTCCTCAGTTGCTGTTCCTGAGAGGCCTCAGACCCTGGGCTAGGAGCATTCAGCAACCAGGCCCACTGGGGGCGTTGCCTGTGACACACCAGCATCTAGCTACATTCCCAGCAGACCACAGCCCAGTTCTCCAGTTTCTAGGTATTCACTTGGTGGCATCGATGCTCTGGTTGTGTGCCACCTCACGTCCTTCTCTCACTACCATAAACTCCCTGCCCCTGGGCCCCGTCCAGTCTATGCCGTGGAGAGAGGACGCCAGAGTGCAGGGTCAAAGGACTGCCCTGTGAGATGGTCTCGGCTCTCAGTGAGTCCCACGAGCTCCAGGACGAACAGTTCAGATAGGGGTAGCTGGACACCGTCCAATTCTCCTGGTCTCCTGGGGACGGTGACTCACCACGCCCCATGTCCCCCTGTCCTGACTCCCCTTCCTCTGTTGCTCTAGTGAGAGACCATTGTGCCTTGGTTGGCCTGTTGCACCCTTCTGTGACCCCAGGCAGCACACGATGAACTAGGGGCTAGAATAGAAGCTATCAGGCTGATGACGTGAGGTGTTCCACTCAACAAGGACCCAGATTCTACGAGGTGGCGTGCATATGCAGCCTCACAGCTGCTCCGGTCATCACTGTCCGTGTCTGGCAACCACACATTGCCAGTTCAGGTGTGTGCCTTAGAGACAGGTGGTAATTATAGTAACTGGTTGTGCAACCTTACCCATCACTCCTGCCCTGGTAACCACTACAACTGGGGTCTCTGCACAGAAGGTAGATAGTAGGCCATTGGTGGTCCACATATGCCTGGCCCACACTGCGTTCGCTGTCCCGTCAGCTGTGGGTGGACATTAAGGTTGCCTGTGGCTTCTGGCTGTGGTGCTGCAATGGGGCACTCCTAGGGATGGGCCTGCAGGGTCATAGGGTCATGCTAGTCCTAGTCTTTGGGGCCACTTTGCATTCCCAGTGGACGTGGGGTTCCGGTTTTCCCACACTCTCAACAGCATCGCGGTTTCCTCGCCTGCTTGTTAATCTTCGCCAGCCTGGTGGGAGGGAGGTGGTTAGGATTCAAATCTGTGGCTAAGGGGGAGGACCTCATTTCATGTGGCCAGTGGCCACTCCACTGTCCTCTTTGGGGAAGTATTTTAAGCCATCTGCCCATCTCATGGTGTATTTGCTGTCTTTGACTTTTACGCTTCTGTGGACACAGCTCCCTACGATGCTCTCAGCGGGGAAGCTTGTCTTAGTTTGTGTGAGGCTGCTGGGAGTGCTTCTGTCAACACCCCCGTGGGCCTGGCACCTTCGGGACCCTGGCAGTGCGTGTCCTGTGAGCGGAAACCCAGTGTTCCAAGCACTGTTGATCACAAATGAACCCGGCTCGTCTTTGCCTGGTCCGGCTGCATCAATGGCCAGTCGACCCTGGCCAGCTGTGGGTCAGACATTGGTGAACCACTGAGCAGCTTGCTGGATTTTCGGAAGTAGATTTCGGTGCCTGCCTTCGCTAGTCCATCTTCTTCCAGAAGCTTCCTTCAGACCCGACCAGCATCATGCCCACACAAGTGGCCTCTGACAGCTGGGTGGGGTGGCAGTGCCTGGGACTGGAGCCTAGGCCTCCCTGTGGACAGCAAGAGTGGTGCTGCCTCATCTCAGGGCGTCCACCTGGCAAGGGCACCGCCCCTGGCACCTGCATTTCCACCCCCACCCCCCCACAGTGGTCTCTGGGTTTGTTTATACTGGGTCCCAGCTGGTAATTAGGTGCCTGATGGTGTGTGTGTGGGGGGGGGGGGTTGTGGAGGTGACACAGCTGTGTGCTGTCCTGTCGGCTAGTTTGGGCTCACTTAATTGACTGTGTCCTCACTGGATGGCCACTCAGTCACAGGCCCCCTTGTGCCCCTCCCTAAGCAGGGAGGCCCAGGCTTGCACCCACCAATTGGAGGGTTCCTAATGGCCTAATTGATCACTGTGCTTTGCCAGGTGAGAGCTGGCCTCCAGGGGATTAGCCACTAATTGCCAGTGCCCTCCTGTAGCAAGATGCACCCACCCCCAACCTGCACCTAAAAGGGAAGCTATTCCGAGGGGGTTCCTCTTAAAGGCAGCAGTTGATGGGGAATCTGGCATATGGTTGCCGGGGCCGGCCCCCCCCCAATGGTTACTCTGTGGCTCCTGATGGTCTGCCCACAGGGAGACGGCATTGCCTTTCTCACTGGTCTCCACCTCCTGCCTAGCAAACTCCCACAGTGGCACTGCCCTTGCTGTCCACCCTTCATGGTGACCAATGTCCATGCTGGGTCCAGCCACATGAGGAAGAGAGGACAAAAGAGAACATGGGGCCCGGGTGGTGGGAGAGACTGCTCACAGGCTGCCTTCTGAGGAGGCAGAGCAGTAAAGCTGCTGGAGCAGAGCGGCCCTAACCAAATCCTGGCTGAAAGGAGTCCTGGCCGAGCTGCGGTTAGCTGTTGGCCGAAAGCAGGGTCGGCAGTTCACACGGCGAGAGCTGGGCTCCAGACCCATCTAACCCGGTGCTCTCCATCTCTTGGACATGGGCATTGTGGGCAATCTGTGAGCGCCCATGTCCCGGGCCTGTTTCTTTCTACCTCGCGCCACTAATACAAGTCACAGGCCTGGGTAACTTCCAGGAGTGGTGCATGCACCGCTCGGATAAAAACTTGCCCGGATCACTTGGCTTTTGCTAAGAATGCCAAAGAGAAAATGCATTCACTGCGCAAGCCCCTCCCTCCCTCCCTGAGACAGAGAACATGTGGTCTCCATGCCCCTCAATAGGATGGCATTTGCCTGGGAAAGGATAGGGGGGCTCCCCTTCAATCGGGAGAGGTAGCCCAGGTCCTCATGCCAGTCAGGGGCCAGCTCCTGGGACTAGACACTCACATGGTGGTCTTCTCCTCTCCAGGCTCCTCACTGAGCAGCGAGTCGTCCCCTGTGTCCTCTCCGGCCACCAACCACAGCTCCCCTGCCAGCACACCTAAACGCGTGCCTATGGGGCCCATCATCGTGCCCCCTGGGGGCCACAGTGTCCCCAGCACGCCCCCCGTGGTGACCATCGCCCCCACCAAGACTGTCAATGGCGTCTGGAGAAGCGAGAGCCGGCAGGTGAGGTCACAGAGCCAGGACTTGGGACAGAGGTGTATCCCTGCTAGAGGAACAGGTGCAATTAAGGAGGTCCCTGGTACAACCACCTCAAGCTTGTGTGGGGGGGGGGGGTCTTGTTTTGGATCCTCTGGGTCGTACAGAGGGGCTGAATCACAGGTGACCTAGTACCAAAGCCCTCCCTGGGGACTGACTGGCAGGCAGGGCCTGGGCTACTCCATGGGCTCTCAGGGAGCCGGCAGGAGGGCAGGTTCAGGAAGGGCCTGTCCAGAGCTCACTTGCAGGTCTATCACCCTGCATGCAGGCTTTGTCTTTGGGGCCTTAAGGGGGTCCCCCCGGAGGTATTATTCGGGCAGATGGCCTTGTGGGAGCCCTGCCTCAGGGTAGGTGGGAGCTTGCTGTCCATGTTAAAACTGTGTTACTCAGCCACCTCTCACCCGCTCTCCTGTGGGGTTCAGCTGCACTGGAGCACCTGGGCACACTAAGCGTCATCTACTGTTTGCCTGGGGGGTGGGGTGGGGGCAGGACATATGATGTCACCAGCCAGGCAGGTACCAGGTCTGCCTGGGCAGTGGCTCTATAGGGTAGTTGGGTAGCCCTTGTGTCCCACCGTGCTTTGAGCTAGCCCCTCCTGAGATCAGGATAGGCCCCCTTTCCTGTGTCCAGACTGAAGAGAACTTCCTGCTAGACCCTTCTATGCCCCCCCCCCCCCCCCCGTCTTGTCCCCCGCAGGATGGTAGCTCTCGGGGTGGCAGCAGCCGAGAGCGCCTCATCGTGGAGCCCCCGCTTCCACAGGAGAAGACCGGTGGCCCGGCCATCCCCTCCCACCTCCTCAGCACCCCCTACCCCTTCGGCATCTCCCCCAGCTCCGTCGTCCAAGATGTCCGCTTCCCACCACTCAAGTAAGTCTGCTGGTGGCCGGGCAGGCACCTAGGGCCCACGCCCCACTGAGCACCCCACTCCCTATTGCCCCTGCTTCGCTCGGGGTGGTGGGCCCAGGTGATAGTACTGCCTGCCCCACAGCCTGCAGCGGCCTGTGCACCACGTGGTGCCCCCCAGCACAATGACTGAGGATTACCTGAGGAGCTTCCGGCCCTATCACACTGCTGAGGACCTCCGCATGTCTACCCTGCCTCCGCTCAGCCTCGACCCTGCCACCGCCGCAGCCTACTACCACCCCAGCTACCTGGCCCCACACCCCTTCCCACACCCAGCTTTCAGGTAAGTGCCATCCCTCCTGTCGGGGCAGGTGCTGCTCAGCAGCAGAGTGGCCTGGCCCTGGGTATGAGCTGCTGTGTCCCTGCACAGGATGGACGACTCATACTGCCTATCAGCCCTGAGGTCCCCCTTCTACCCACTGCCCGCACCTGGCTCCCTGCCCCCGCTGCACCCCTCTGCTGTGCACCTGCACCTGTCCGGTGTCCGCTACCCGCCTGAGCTGGCCCACTCGTCCCTGGCCGCGCTGCACTCAGACCGGCTGTCCAGCCTCAGCGCAGAGAGGTGAGGCATACACCAGCAGGGCCCTGAGCTTCTGGGGTGCAGGGAGGTGGGGCTGGATGATGGGCCCCTGGACACCCCCAGACACCAGACCCCCCTCTCCCCGCAGGCTGCAGATGGATGAAGAGCTGCGGCGGGAGAGGGAGCGGGAGGCCGACCGAGAGAGGGAGAAGGAGCGGGAGAAGGAGCGTGAGCGGGAGAAAGAGCTAGAGCGGGAGAAGGAGCGGGAGCGGGAACGGGAGCTGGAGCGGCAGCGGGAGCAGCGGGCCCGCGAGAAGGAGCTGCTGGCCGCCAAGGTGCTGGAGCCCGCCTTCCTGCCTGTGGCTGAGCTGCACGCGCTGCGAGGCCTCGCCTCTGATGAGCGCGCCAAGCCCTCGGAGCAGCTGACCCCGACCCGTGCAGGTACAGCTTGGTGGGCTGCTCTGCTCTGGAGCAGGGCTCTGGGGACTGCGGGGTGACCCAGGCCCTGTGTGTGTGACCCAGTCACTCTCCCCACAGAGAAGCTCAAGGAGGTCGGCCTGCAGGCGCCCAAGCCCATGCCGCACCCGTTGCACCCCGGCCTACTCTCAGGGCCCAGCGTCTTCCAGACCCTGCCTGGAGCCAGCGCAGCCGCAGCCCTCCTTGGGCAGCGTGCCAATGAGGAGGAGAAGTGGCTGGCGCGGCAGCGGCGGCTGCGGCAGGAGAAGGAGGACCGGCAGTCCCAGGTGTCGGAGTTCCGGCAGCAGGTGCTGGAGCAGCACCTGGACATGGGCCGTCCCCCGGTGCCAGCCGAGGTGGAGCCCCGGTCTGAGAGCACCAGGTGAGCATAGAGCCCCGGCACATAGATATCGTCGCTTCCTGCCCTGACTGCCTCAGGGAGCCTTCGGTGAGACCAGGGCTAACGGCATGGGGCCCTGCCCTTGTCTCTTGGGCTCCCTGTTCCCTTCAGACCTCAAGGAAAGGGCTGTGGGCTTCCCAGCCGGGCCCTGGACCCCCTCTGGCCTCAGTCCTCTGTCCCTTTGCAGACAGACATCTAGAGCTTTGGGCGCATTGAAAAGCTGGGACCTTTGCTCGGAGGCCAGACGGAACTGGGCCATGAACCATCCTGGCCCCAGGGAGGGGTTCTGACAGTAAGGGTAGCCTGACTGATGTGGGCCTCCAGGTGGGTGAGAAGCAGGTCTACTAAAGAAGCTGCCTGCCCTGGTACTTGTGAAGGGCTGCGGCGTGTCCCCACAAGAGGCAGCACAGGTGGCCTGAGGACACGGGAAAGGCCTTTCCAATAGGCCTACAGTCATAGCTGTGAAAGGGAGAGGAGCCAGAGCCCCGCAGCCCCCACCGTGACTGCTGTTCTCCTCCCTTAGGCCAGGACAGACACGCCACGAGCTGGGCAGCCGGGAGCCTCCACAGCATTTTGGGGGACCCCCGCCCCTCATCTCACCGAAGCCTCAGCACCACCCAGTGCCCACTGCCCTCTGGAACCCTGTGTCTCTCATGGACAGCACCTTGGAGGCCCGCCGGGCTGACAGCCACCCACCGCACAGCCACACGGGCCCCTTCGAGGCCAGCCGCCAGGCCACGGTCCCCCTAGTTAAGGTGGAGCGGGTATACTGCCCTGAGAAGGCCGATGAGGGGCCCCGGAAGCGAGAGGCCACCCCTATGGACAAGTTCCAGATGCCACCCCGGGAGTCAGGGGGCCTTGAGCACCCACCTTTCTCCCACGGGCCTGGGCCATTCCTCGCTGAGCTAGAGAAGTCCGCCCAGAGCCTCCTGAGCCAGCCACGGGCCTCTCTACACCAGGCAGCCCCCTTTGGGGAGCTGGGGGGGCGACCCCCATCCCAGAGAGGCCCCGACCCTTCGTACGTCTACGATGAGTTCCTACAGCAGCGCCGCCAGCTGGTCAGCAAGCTGGACCTGGAGGAGCGGCGGCGGCGAGAGGCCCAGGAGAAAGGTCCGTGCATGGGTGGCAGGGGTGGGCACTCTGGCCAAAGCCTTCTGCAGGCGTGCTCACCTAACAAGTGTTGAGCGGGCTCGTGAGGTGGCTTTCGATGTGAAGCACACCATGGGCAGTGGCAGCTCTATGGGAACCCCTAGAACCCAGAAGTCTGAGTGAAGCCCCTACTGTGACAGGGCTGCAGGCTTGTGCTGGGCTCAGCCCTGAGGAAGCAGGCCCGGGCCCTGCCGAGAAAGGAGTGGCTGCTGGCCAAGAGCCCTCCAGCATACCCCGTGCCCCGGGAAGGCAAGACTGGGCAGCTCCAAGGGCCTGGGGGGGAGGGGGACCTGTTTCCCAGGAGCCCCGGCTCACGCACACACACACACCCCCCCCAGGGTACTACTACGACCTGGACGACTCATACGACGAGAGCGACGAGGAGGAGGTCCGGGCTCACCTGCGCTGCGTGGCTGAGCAGCCGCCTCTGAAGCTGGACACATCCTCTGAGGTCTGTCTGGCTCCCCGGGGCGGGCGGGCTGGGGGAGCTGGGGGAGATTCACACTGACAGGTGCCCTGCCCACATGTAGAAGCTGGACTTCCTGCAGCTCTTCGGCCTGACCACCCAGCAGCAAAAGGAGGAGCTGCTGCTGCAGAAGCGGCGCAAGCGGCGGCGGATCCTGCGGGAGAGGAGCCCCTCGCCCCCAACTGTCCAGAGCAAGCGGCAGACCCCATCCCCACGTCTGCCGCTGTCCACCCGCTACAGCCCAGATGACATGAACAGCAGCCCCAACCTGGAGGAGAAGAAGAAGTTCCTGACCATCTTCAACCTGACCCACATCAGTGCCGAGCAGAGGAAAGGTGAGCCCACGCCCTGCTGTGTGCTGGTCCGAAGTGCAGAAGTGCCTGGAGCCCCCCGGCTGAGCCAGCTTGGGCAGTGCCCTGTCCTCTCCTTCTTCCTGTTTGTGGGCAGGTGCCCCTCGCTGGCCTGGAGCAGAAAGCACCCAGGGTCACTTAGATGCTTCGTTGCACATGTGGGGTACAGACAGGGTCCCCTGTCTTTTTAGCCAGCTTACCCAGCCCTCTGCCATGAGTTGGCTGGGACTCAGATGGGGGCACCTGGTTCCAGGTGTCACTTTCAGGAAGCATCTGTGGGTGTACAATGGGTCTGAGCTGCTGACCTTCAGCTGCAGGACTCCCGGCTCCTTGCTTTTACCAATCACCTAGAATTCAGACCCGTGAAGAAGACCGCTTGCTGGGGGCTTGTCGGGCTGACTCCGGGAAGGGGAGCACCAGGCCTTTCTTCTGAGGTGCCTCCAAGTGCAGCTTCAGCCTCACCTTAGGCAGTGAAACGAGTGTCCCCTGCACATGCCCCAGGGCTGCCAGCGCTGCGGGCTGTCTGGTCTCTAGGGTGAGCACGCACCGCGGAGACGGCCTACACGGGCTCGGTCTCTCCGTGTGCCGGGACACTCCTTCAGTCACAATGCAGCATGGCGACTTGGGGAAGTGAAGGCGCCAACCAAGACCCACAGTGCACCTGGTGTCCTGGCGCCAAGGCCTCCTTAATGCAGGCTGCTTTCCTCACAGACACCGAGAGGCTTGTTGAAATGCTCCGTGCCATGAAGCAGAAGACACTCACGGGGGCAGGCCCGCGGACGCACACTGCGAGGGACAGTCCCGCTGCCTCCCCGAGCGGTAAGGCGCAGGGCCGACCTGTCCCAGCAGCTGCGTCTTCACCTGGGACCTGCCTTCCTCTTGTGCGAAGACTCCTCGCGCTCTGCCAGGCCTGGCTTCCCAGCTGTAGAGGCCGTGTTAGCCTGGTGGCCTCCGTGTAGGCCCTGGTTCTTCTGTCTTCTTCTGCGGCTGTCGTGCTCACGTCTCCGTCTCCCGCGGCTGCCTTTCAGAACCCTCCAGCGCCTTTGGCTGCGCCCTTGCTGGGCAGGCAGGGCTGCCCCCTGTGGTCCTCGCCTCGTTGTGGTTGGACTCAGCTCCTTACCTCGGTGGTGGCTGGAACTCGGCTGCGTGCTCTCTCCTAAGGGCTTCCTTCCAACCCGGGTCCCTGCGCCTCTCAGGGTGGACTTGGTCCCTCTAGGCTGACGTGCCTTCCTGTGCAACTAGGTCTGCTCTGCTGACCCCAGCCCCAGTGCTGGGCACTTGATTGTGACCCCGTCCCTCTAACCATGTCCCCTCTCTTCTGTCTCTAGAAGAACCAGCCACGCAGACCTCCCTGAGCCCAGACAAGCCCATCGGCCTTGCTGCATCCCTGCCCGACGTGGCCAAGACTGTGGAAGCACTTGGGCCCCAGGAACTGGCTCCCGGCTGTGGCGAGAAGACCAGACTGGGCGGGGCACCCGGGAGCAGGAAGAGCCTGAGCCTGCTGCATTGTGTCCGGGGACCTGCGCCCAGAGATGTCCCCGTGCCGCTCTCACACAGTGTCAACGGCCAGGGCAGACCCTGGGAGCCCTTTCTGGCTGAGGAGTTCGCCCACCAGTTCCACGAATCGGTGCTGCAGTCCACCCAGAAGGCCCTGCAGAAGCACAAAGGTAGTGGCCCTGCTGCCCTGGGTGTCCAGCAGACAGCCTCCATCGGGTTAGGGACCAGCCTGGTGGGTGGGCGAGCGGGGGCATCAGCAGATGACAGGCCAGTTAGGAAAGGAACCCTTGACAGTTCACTGCCTAGCGCAGCTGAAATGCACTTCTGTACACTTGCCTTTGCCGCAGCCCTCAGAGGAGCTCACCGTCGGAGGGTGGAAACGCTGAGCACACACGCAGGATTGAAAGCCTAGTTGTGTACAGAGTGGGTTTGCCGGGGGTAGCACAGACCTCCCCACCAGCGTGTCCCCATAGGCACAGCGGACTGACTGTGGCACCCTCCTTCCCACAGGGCACACGGCCGTGCTGTCGGCAGAACAGAACCACAAGGTGGACACCTCTGTCCACTACAACATCCCCGAGCTGCAGTCCTCTGGCCGGCCTGCCCGGCCCCAGCACAATGGCCAGCCAGAGCCCCCACCGGGGAGAAAGGGCCCCAGAGCCCAGGAGCTGGACCAGGACTCGGAGGACTTGGACGACTCGGAAGAGGATGATGGAGATGACGAGGAGGAGGAGGAGGAGGAGGAAGCCCCCAGGCGGAAGTGGCAAGGAATTGAGGCCATTTTTGAAGCTTACCAGGAACATATAGAAGGTGAGGGGTGGGGGAGCAAACAAAGCTGACTAGACCAGTGAACGCAGGATTGCCAGCGCCAACCTTGAGTGGGGGGGTTTCTGTGACTGGTTTCTTGGGGCACAGCATCAGGCTCTGTCCCAGTGAGGTAGCTGAGCTCCCTGAGCCTACAGGCTGGGTCCCAACCCCAGAGGCTGGGCAGGGCTGAGCTAGCACTCTGCCGTGGGTTGGGGGCTTCATCTAGGAAGGGAGTCCCCTTCACCCCTGGCCACCCAGCTGTGTGCACCTGTACTTCCTACAAGTCTCTAGACTAAAAACAAACACACAAACACACCCCCTTCACAGCGACCCTGTGGGACCCAGGCTAGAGCTGCTCTCCAGGTGTCTGGGCGGGGCTGCAAGTCTCCATGAGGGCAGCCCCCCACCTTTCTCCCTCTGAGCACGGGCTGCCAAGCTGCCTTTCTTGTCACACGTGTGAGAAGCTGGCCCTCTCCCCTGCATGGACACCTTCCCAGTGGTTTCTGGGAGGCCCCTCTTCCTCTGGGGTCTGCCCCTGCACCCCTCTGCCTTCCCCACGAGGATTCTAGGGTCCCTAACCCAAAGAAACCCTTTCCAGGTGCACCACACAGATTTGGAGGGGGCTCAGCAATGTGGCTATCCTTCCTCTCTCTGAGGCTGAAGCCCCCTCCAGCCCCTCAATAGGTCCCTTCAGTTTTGTGGCATTGTCATGGTAGGAAGGCTCTTACCTGGCACCCTGGCCAAGCCTTGTTCTGCTGCGGTGGCAGGGGACGTCCTTCTCATGTCCTGCTGCGTTGCCTGTGCCTCATCCGACCTCACAAGTGTCTGTCCCTAGAGCACCCCCACTGGGTGAGCGTCTGTGGGATTGGTGAGGTGACAGGTTTTCTCGTCTGAGTGTGGCTCATGTCGTTGCTTGCTATCGAGTGAGCCCGGCAGACCCCGTGCAGGCAGCAGCCATGCTCGGGCATGTAGGGCCTCCCCCGCGTGTAGGGCTTTCCTGCTCCCTGCTGGGATGTGAGGTTCCAGGGGTGCAGCTTCCAGCATCACCCAAGGCCTCTCTCACCCGTGTCACAGATGGGGATGGGGGGTAGGGGTGGCATTTTTGGCGGTTCTGGCCACTGCCCTGGCTGGGGGGGGGGGGGGGCTGTTTTGGGGTCATGTTGCTGGTCTCAGTGTTGTGCTACAGCCATGACTGGGAAGCTTACGGAGCGCCTGACCCCTCATCTATCATCTGTCCTTCTGGAAGAATGCCTTCATTAGAGTCCGTCAGGTGGCATGCTGAGTCTTAGCCAGAGGATGGGTGCCGGGCAGTGGGATACTCACCAGAGCCTGGGTGGCCAGGCACTGAGCGCGCGCACGCCTCTCATCTTTGCAGAGCAAACGCTGGAGCGGCAGGTGCTGCAGACGCAGTGCCGGCGGCTGGAGGCCCAGCACTACAGCCTCAGCCTTACGGCGGAGCGGCTGTCCCACAGCATGGTGGTGAGTGGGCCCCAGGCAGCTCGGCTGACTTTGATCTTTCTGGAAGAGTAACAGTGCTATTTATAGCAGAGGGCTCCTATGTACCCAAGGGGCCGGAAGGGAAGTTCCCAAAGCAAAGGCTAACTTCCAACAGACAAACCCACTAGACCCATCCCGGGGCTCTCCTGAAACATCAGCAGCAGTCACAGAGCACCCCTCCAAAAAGCACCCAAGTTCACTGCCATCGAATCCTTCTGACTCAGAGTGACCCAATAGAACAGAGGAGAAAGTCTTATCTTTCTCCCTTGGAGCTGCTGACTTTGAGGTTGTAACAGCTCAACATACAGCCACCACATCACCAGGGCTCAGGCTGAGGCTTTGGAGGGGAGGGTGGAGAGTCTGACAGCCAACCAGAGCAGGCAATCCCGAGGCCACAGGGGCAAAGAGGGTGCTGACTAATGCTCTCTCTCTCTCTGCAGGAGCTGAGGAGCCAGAAACAGAAAGTGGTCTCGGAACGGGAGCGCCTGCAGGCTGAGCTGGACCACTTACGGAAGTGCCTTGCGTTGCCGGCCATGCACTGGCCGAGGGGTTATTTTAAGGGATATCCAAGGTGACGGTTTCCCTTGCACTAGGTGAACCTATAGTATAGAAATGATATCTATTTTATTACCTGGAATATTTAATATTTTTCACTGGGAGGTTTGAAGCTTAATGAGAATGTGCCATGCATGAAGCAAAACAGAAAAAGATTCCAGACTCCAGACCACGAGCTCACCTGAAATCCACGCACCCAAGTCCGCACAGCCCACGCAGAACCCTGTCCCCCACAACGCAGATCCACCACCAGGAAGCAGAGGTGTACCACCAACACTAAGTCCCCACCACAGGCAGCCCTGGCTTAGCGCACGCTGTGACTCGGGGCTGGGGCGCCTGCTCTGCTCCCAGGAGGAAGGCTTGCTCAGCCGTGGGGTGGGTGCCGTTGTAAGGGCTCCCACATTGCAGTCACTTCACTGCAAACTGTCCCAGTGTGCCAGGCCCTAGGGGCACACACACTGGAAGTCCTTAAGGGCTCGCCCTGCCCCCAGAGGGAAGCGACAGGCATGACAGAAGGTACTCCCTGGGGGGACAGATGGACGGAGCTCTGTGCACACGTGCTTGCTCACACCCGCCCCATTGTTGTTGCCAGGGGTGAGGTTCTCACACAAAAGTCAGTTTTGAAAGAAAAGGTGCTTCAGCCGTGTACCGTGTATATATTAAAACAAAGTTTTGTATGTTTTTATTACTTTAATTATTGTTATAAAAAGCCTGCCATTTTTACTATGTGGTTTGGGGGTTTCCGTTTGTTTGTTTCCTGTTTGGGGTTTGGTTTGGGTTTTTCTGGGCAAGGGGGTGGGTGGTAAAGGCCACCCACCCGCTCCCCTTGCTTTTAGTGTTTGTACTGCTGCTGGTCAGGACGTCGAAGTGTTTTTACAATTAAAGAAGGAAGATGAGACGAGCTTTACTGTCGGCGCCTGTGGGCTGCCTCTCCTGCTGCTGCCTGTGGTGGACACCAGTCAGTCCTGCGGGGCAAGGGGGCCCCCGGTCAAGGCCCGTTAGGCAGGGGCAGCCCTTCTAAGAGCCCAGCAGAGGGCCAGGATGCAGAGCTGTCCCCTTTTGCACTCACTGTGACCGGCTGGGGACAGCATGCCATCTAATAGGCTGCAGGGGAGATGCCCCTTAGCTGTGGGTCAGGTGAAGGACTATCTGACCTTTGGGGGGTAGGGAGGGACCTGCTACACTCAGTGGCGGGCCCTGGGCCAGGCCTCTGCTGTGAGGAGCAGCTTGCTGGCAGATGGCATTGTGTCGCTTTATCTGTTCCCACACAGTTTGCTTTGTCTGTCTGCCAAGAATCTTCCAGTTATTAGCAAACTCAAACAAAAAGTGCCGCCAGTATTGTCAGCAGTCGGCGAGCAACCTCCTCCCCACCGCTGCGTGGGGCCACCGCCCCTGCAGAGACATTGAGTGAGGACGTGTCCCCCAGGTGGGACAGGTGTGCAGCGTGCACGTACTGCCAACAGCTGAGCAGACCTCCTCGGTCCCCTTTCTGACCAGCCTGCCATTTCCGCTCTGAAGGCGGGTGCTGCCGCCAGCTCACTGTGCTCCCAGCCTGCTGGCCATGGCAGCCCTGGCGGCAGCAAAGCCCAGCCCAGCCTGTCTGTCCCTCTGGCCACCCAAGGGGAACTCATGGCCTGTGGGACTTGCTATTTCAGAAAGGTCTCTGTCCAGGACCAGTCCCAGCTGCATTGTTCTCCTGCTGTCTCATCCTCCCACTCTTCTGTGTGCTCTCTCCAGAAACGCTGACAATCACACTAGCAACGCAGGCCAGGGGCAGGTCAGCAATCAGCTCCTAGAGCCTGGGATACCCCTACCCGCAGCCCCAGGGGGCGTCCTGCTAAGGGTTAACAGATGCACATACTTCTCAGCAGCCGTCTCCCATGGGCGGGTGGGCCACGCTTGCTCCAGATATGATCCTGCCTGCCACCTTGGTGTCTGTTAGCATAAGGACCTCGGTCTGGAGGGGTCTTCCTAAACTGCCTATAAGCAGCCACACTGTCACGTGCTCCCACGTCCCCACCACGTGGTGCTCCCCAAGCTGACAATGTGAAAACAGGATGTTTCCCTTTGTCTTATCCAATCAGACAGGACCCTGCCTAGTCTCAGGCAGGTGCTTGCATCTCACTGGCACGGCACAAGAGTGCCCTCAGTCCACCCGAGGCAACCCAGAGGATGCGGACGGGAGCCTGAGCCCCCAGCAGAACGCTAGGGGGCCAAGGAGCCCATCCACCCACCCCCTGGGTCGGTTGACCGGTGCTTCCCTCCAGCAGCTCCCAATGCCACTAACCCCAAACCCAGCGGAACATCCTACCAGGAACAGGTAGCTGCCTGCCACCAGGTGGAGGTCAGCAGGTGGCCAGGCCTGGTACTCTGAAATGTCCATTAGCTCCATAGCCACAGCCCAGCCCTGCTCGTCCTGGCAGCAGCCTGTCCCATGCCCCCCAGCCCAGTGCATAACTGCAGACGCCCCTCTGCCTGGGCCTGCTGAGGCTGTGCTGCTCAGCGCAGTGCTGGGGGTCAGACTACGTGCCTCGGCCACACGGGGGTGGTTTAGATGCTGTGAAATGAAACCTGTTCTAAGTGTACTTGTTTGAATTCATTGTATTGTAATATTTGTTGAATGTAGTAATTAGGTATTTATGAATATATTGCTGTAATTTCTGACAACATCCAAAAAAAATAAAATCTTCCTAAATCATGTTGAGAGGAAAGCCTTTCTTACAGAAAGTCCTGAGACAAGGCCTCGAGGAGCTGAGAACACACAGGCTCCAGGGGGTGGGGGTTGGAGGCAGGCTCAGCCAGGGCAACGAGAAGATAATGGCTCAGTTCAGAGTCGGGGAGCACTGGCCCCCCATGACAATGAGAAGCGCCCCAGGTAAAATATAAAGCACCCAGAGTCCTGGGGATGATCTGACCACCGCCTTCCCTCAGGTCAGTGTCTGGCTCTGGGGCTCGGAGAGTAACCACTTGCGGGGACAACCTGGGAGCTGTCAGACACAGTTGGTTGAAGCTGGGCCAGCTTCCACACACCAGGGCAGAGGCCTAGTCCTGCTCACACACTGCCTCCTCTGCCCTGCCGAGCCCTGGAGGCCACATGCTGACAAACCAGGTTCTGCAGCTGCTCACACCCCTGCCCCAGGTACTGTGCTTTCAGCGAGGAGCCTAGCAGTCCCCAAATGTTCATTCTAACAATTTCCCCTCAAAAAGAAACCCTAGAGTGAGCCAGAGCCGAGAGGCCACTCGCCCTTCCCATCAGTGTCTCGTGTCACTGGAGCACATCCCAAGTCCTCTCTGCGGTTGGCTCTCTGCCCTGTTCCTCGGGTGGTCACTGGCACCCGGGCGCCACAACGGACAGAAACTCTAAGTCACATTCGGTCTATGCATTTATTGTCTGGGGGTGCTTCGCTTCTCCAAGTCGGCTCTGAAGGCCCTGCCCGCTGGCCCTCTGGGGAGCGTCCTGCTCGATGCCAAGGGCAGCCAAGAGCCTGTCCAGAACACAGGGAATCAAGTCCAAGCCACATCCACTGCGTGCACCTTCAAGGCAGCACAGCACACAAGGTGACAGTTTGTACCAGCCCCCCCCCAAAGAAAGGCTGGCCCTAGAGAGATGTGGACCCAGGGACTGCTCATGGAGCCGTCTTTTGACGGTGTCCTTCCGACGGCGTCACCCCCCACGGCTCGCATCGTTAGCCTTTTCCACACGTTCAGAACCAGGAGTACCTCTCATTTCCGAAGCACTCTCCCAGCAGCCTTGCCCCATGGATCTGGCTCTAGAAGTCCTGGGACTGGGTGCCGGCAGGGGGCTGGAGGCCGGTGCGCAGTCGGTACATGCGGCCAAGGGCCCGCGTGAGGAAGGCGCCGCTGGTGCTGATCTCCAGCAGGGTCAGGTTGTCCAGCTAGAACATAAGAACAAAGGCCCTGGCTGTCAGAAGTCCAGATTCTGATAAATGAGGTACTCAACTAAAAATTAAATGGGAAAAAAAAGAACCGATGATGGTTTTTTAAAAGTAAAGGCACAGCTAGCTGGGAAAGTTGGCCAGCGTCTTATAGAGTCAATCATCTTAAAGAACAAGCCACCAGCAGAGCCCGCTGGCACTGCACAGCAGCTGAGGGGTGGCGCCACTCCCTACCCTGGCGTGTGCCTCCTGCTGCCTCACAAAGCGGTCAGCTGAGACCCGGAGCTTGGCTATTCGCGTGTCCCACGTCTCCTTGATCAGGGTGCGGATCTCGTCTGCTTTAGGGATGTTGTCGGCAGCACTGAGGAAACAAGAGGCAGCAGCATCGGCCTTCAGTACAGCAGAGGAAGCTCAGCCCGAGGTGGTGCCTGTAGTGCTGCTTCAGGTGCACCAGTGTCTAGCAGCTTGCTGCTCCATGCAGCCTAGGCCCACATGCGCTGGCCACTGTAAGCTGCATCCTCCCCCTGCTGAGAGCAAGCTCCAGGCTGCTACCTCGAGGAGGAACAGCTCTCTGAGGCTCATCACCTACGTCACGGTGAACTACAAATCCATGAGCTAAACTCTAGCAGCACCGGCGTCAGCTCAGAATAAGCTCTGCTAGCAGGTGCCTGAAGGGCAGGTGTCATCGATTTAGACATCAAACTGCTAATGAGCTCCAAGTGAGCACTCCGGCCCACCTGCAAGCAAGAACGTGTCTGAAGCCGTCAGCCCGGGAGGGCCGTGCTCAGGGAATGCATCAACAGATAAGCCCGACCAGACCTCCGCCCCAGCACAGAAGCAAGCACTGGGCCTGGGACAACGTGCCTCCAATGGATGTGACGAATCCAGGCACTGAGGTGGCAGGGCCTGCACAGCAGGTCACCTGACGAAGGTACCCAGGCCCTTGTCCAAGGGCCGGCAGATCAAGCCTCTGAGCCAGACACACAGCAGACCAAGGCTCGTGCGGGAGTCAGAAACCAAAGCTGAGCAGGCTGGCCCCACCTCGGCGGCAGCAGCACCCACTCTGGCCCGGTGCCATGTTCCAGACCATCTTTCCTATGGGTCCTGCCCCGAGGGCCCTCCAACAGCACACCCTGCTCCAGACAGATGGGGCCTAGGCTCCTACCATCCCCTCACACTCCCTCACCCTCAATCGCCCCCCAGGCTGCACCTGTGGACACTGGCCCTCACTCCATTCTGTACCCCCAAGGCCCCACCAAAGCCAGGCTGCTAGGGAACCACTGGCACCACGAAGCCCGAGGACACGATCCAGTCTGGGAAATGTGCTCGCTCACGCCTGCCCATGGGAAGCCTCCTCGCTGGGCTGTGGAGGCCCATTCACACACAGCAGTGCTCTGGCTTTACGGAGCAATGGCGCCCTGATCTCATACTGCCCCCTGACCTCCAGGCAACCTGTCCTAGTCCTGCATGCCCTGCCCACCTTCCACCCCACCAGCTGTGCTGATTAAACCTGCCCACCCTCCACTGAGCCTACCCCTACTCCACTAGCTGCATACCGGACAAGGTGGAAGGTGGGGGTGAGGGGGTGAGGGCTGCAGGAAGTGTCAGGTCAGAGGCAGGAGGAGGACATGGCACCCGTATCTCCTAACGAATGCACACAACAGATGAAGAGGCTCCTGCGGCCCAGTGCTGTCACGGCAGGCTCTCCCTGGGGCCAAAGGTCAGAGGCCAGCATGGCCCTCCAGGCTTCCTGGGAGACAGACATAGGTCCATAAATGGAAAGTGTAGAGGGGAGGAAGTAAGTCACGCCAAGTGTCCAAAAAGGCTGCTGCTGAGGTGCCCAAGTGGCTCAGCCTGGGGTCCCAGTCAGCTGCCAGAGGGAGAGCCAGCAGACTTGCTAGGGGGCTGGGAGGAAGGGCCTTGGGGTAAGCGCCTGATGGGGCACGAGAGGGCGTCTGGAGCTGCAGGACTTACTGATTCAACAGCAGCTGGCTGAGCTCCATGTAGTGCGGGCTGGGCATGGGGGTAAAAGTTTCTTCCTTCCGTTCATGGTCTCTCATCTCCTCCAACTTCTCTGAAATTCAGAAGTGAGCATACGTCACTCCAGGCAAGTCCAGTGACACCGTGTCCCAGGATACCAAGCATCACCATCCACCGCCTCGTGCACACTGACACGGTATATTAACTACACCCTGACATTCCCCTCTGAGAAGGAAGTCAGCTGCTGCTGGCCTGGCCTGGCAGTGGACAACTGACAGAACACAGTGAAGTCCAGTGTAGGGCAATGCTTTCCCCGTGGGGAGAACACTACCTTCTTTACACTCAGCCTTGTCCAGAGATCACGCACAGCTTACAGCGCGCTGCTGGGAAGCCCCGTGCTCTTGGCGGAGTAGCCACTATCTCCCACAGGCATCAGCTGCCAGGATCCCACCTTCCTTGTCTCACCCTGGGCTGCATGCACCTGCAGGCACAGTCCTACAACCTGAGGTAGAGCTGGGCCCTGGAGCCCACTCTCCCCCACCACTGCAGCCCTGCTGCCCTCAGGTGCCACCAGCTCTCACTGCTGCCCTGCTCCCTGTGCACCAGGAAAAAGAAAAGAGCACCTCCACTCCCAGACCCTGGCCCAGCCTCCATCACCCCGCCCATGCATAGGTTCTCCCACCTTACATCAGCCCTTCCCAGCCACGCCCTGGTCCTGCCTGCACACCAAATGACCCCCGGCCAATACCAGCCTCTGTTTACCCTAATCTTCCCCCAAGCAGCTCTTCTGGAAGGGGCCCCCACAGGCTTCCCTGGCTGCAGGCAGCCCTCCTAGCTGGAGTACATGTCCTCCCAGTGCCTGGCTGGCTGCCCATAGCAGCACAGTAATTAGTCCCACAAGACTCGCATCCCAGGTGACCTCAGCCTGCCAAGTCTCAGCAACCTCTCTGCTCCCTAGAATGATGTCCAGAATTTACCCCACCCCCAGTTCAGCCCTGAGCCCAGAGCACATGCTGACCCAGATGCCACACACCTCCATGGCCATAGGGCTGGCTAACAGGTTCAAATCCCAACTCCGATCAGCGCTCCAGCCCACCACCTGCCCTGTGGTCTCCCAGTGCAGCCAAGGCAACTCCACTCCTGCCCACATTTCCAGCCAGCACCTTGACTGACATCTAGAACACTCTGCCCTTCAGAATACACCTCGACGCCACCAGGTCTGACCGGTTCCAGCCAATGGTTTAAAGACCCCCTCAGCTCCCATCTCACAAGTCCCTACCCACAATCCCCCACCCCACCCCGATCCACAGACCTTTCTACAGCGAGGTCTTTTTAAATCTAAACCTGGTAACAAAGCACTCCAGTTGAAATCCTCCAGCGAATCAGACAGACAGACAAGCACCTAACACTGCCCTGGACACAGCATTGTGGGCGCTGGCTGATATTTCCAGCTACAACTAGAAATGGACACAAGCAACCAGTGCCTAATGGGTGACACTGACTTACAACATCAAGCTCAATCTGGCCCGTGACCAGGCGGTTCCACCATCTGCATGCATTTACTTGTGTGAACGGCAAACAGCCACAGAGACCTGGACAACAAACTACGCCGGCAGTCTTCCTAACCATCCCAAGCTGTGCACCTCCGGCAGGGGAATGGGCAGCACCTGGTGCATACTCTCCCCAGGGGCACTGCTCAGCCACCGAAATTATACGAACCCCTGCCACCTGCTCAGAGCATGTGGCCACAGTAAGTCACCCTCGAGAGAGTGGGCGAAACAAAACCATCACAAAGACCAGGCTCACTGGTCAAACAGACTGGGGGGACGCCCAGAGCCCCTCTTCCGGTCTGGGAGGCAGCTCAGCCCTGGGCTTCCTTCTCAGGCCACAACCACCAGGTTGATACAGGGAAGTAACACTGGGCAGGTGTGCCTCCTGAGACTAGCCAGCCGTCTGTGACTGGAGGGCAGCACTGGCCAAGGAGAAAGCTCGTGCAGGTCAGCCCAAATGGGGGAAGGGGAAGGGGAGCACAGGAGGAGGTAGACTGAGTGCTGTGACTCCGTGGGAACTACAGTCAAGGGCACAGGGCACAATGTGTCTACACTGCTGCGTGGAAAGCCTCTGTAAACTACCTGATTTGCAATCAACAAGTTCAACCAAAAGGAAAGGCGTGACCCCGTGAAAGATGGGGTCACAGCAGGGTGACTCCCAAAACCATTCTACAGAAAAACCTACTGAGCCCACTGGAAAGGAAATGACCTAGCAGGTGGATTGCATTCACTGACAGTCCAAGGACAGGTGCACACAGTCTCAAATCAGAAAGCAGCCGCCCTGGGGCCGGGCATTGGCCTGCAAGGGGGCGCAGAGCCGTCTGGGGGCAGCGGGAAGACCGTTGGTACCCTCCCGTTGTTTCAAGGGGGCAAGATTGGGCTTTCTGCTCCCTGGAAGACTTGTGACCTCAAACCCACAGGGGCAGTTCTACCCTGTCCCACAGGGTCCCTGTGTGTTGGAATCGATGGCAGCTGAGTTCTCCGGAGGACATGCCCACCACCACTGAAAACAAATTCTGAAGGCAACCCAGCAGGCGTTCAAACGAATGTTTCTTTAAACCCACGCCCACTTCAGGATGTTGGTACACCTAAAACCCGATTTGGCCTCACACGAAAAGCACCACGTGGGCATCGACATGCTCCAGGAATCCATGGGTGTCAGCGGGCCCGGTGTCCGGCTCCTTACCTACGTCCATCCAGTCGGGCGGGAGCAGCCGGCACTTCTGCCTCCGCTTCAGGTTCACCGCCAGCCACAGCGGCACCCGCGCCGGAAGCCCGGGGTTGAAGGGCCCCAGGTCCCCCTGCCGAGGAACACAGCCATTGAGGCGCGGGGGAAAGGCCTGGCGAACCCC